AATTTTGTTAGAAAATTATAAGATTTACAAATATCGTATTTTAAAAAGTACAGATGAAAATTGTTGGTGTTGTGTCACGAAAACTTGTCGTGCAAAATTATACAGGCTAGGAGATGAAAAAAATTAAATTTTTTCAAAAAAAAGTGGTGACTATGAGCATGAAATGTTAGATCAAGGTGTATTAAACACACAAAAATTGAGTAACCAAGTAAAGCGAAAACCCGAAGACTGGATGTGCGACAGACCTGCCAAAATTATCAATAGGGAAATAAACTCTCAAAAACAGTGTTTGGATACTTTTACAAGTAAAGACATGAAATACATTCGAAATAACTTTGGAAGAGAAAAACGTAAATTAATCCCCAAATTGCCAAAATCTTCTGCAGATGTTCAAATTACTTTCAATTTATTAGATATAAAAACAATTAAGGACGAACAATTTATATTGGTCAACAACACCATAGTCGTTGATTTTTAAAAAGGAATACATTCTGCTGTTACAACCCTTTTTCCACACACCAAAATTATAGGATGTAGGTTCCATTTGGCACAAGCTTGGTAAGAACACATTTACTTCAATTTCTTGTGTAATAATTGTTTTTTAAATATCCATTTTTACTTTTTCTCAATTATACGAGGCCTCAATTATAGATACGTATACAATGTGTCCCAAAAAGTTTTATACAAAAGTTTATCTTACATTTCATAAAAATATTATTCTTTATAAAAATCTCTGCATGTTCTAAAACCTAAAATACAACCATCAAATATTAAAATTTTTTCAGTCGTATACACGGTATGATAGGTATCTTGATTTTTGAAGTTGTAAAAAAATTTGTTAAGAATTAAATTTAAAGTTAAAGTAAACAAATTTAAAAAATCAAATAAAATAAAACTGAATTTAATTATCAACAATTTAACGTATATGTGATAATAATTATTATCAATTTTGATATTTTCAAAAACAAAGATACTGTACTTTTGCTCAATATTCATATTTTTGGACTAGTATACGACTGAAAAATTTTGATATCTGAATATTTTTTTTCCTATGTCCACTTAGGAAAGTGACACATATCACATTATATAGTCCTATGGTAAGTGCCCTATATCACACGCGTATGAATAAGAATTTACTTTCCACCCGTGTACGAATATGCTACTTTCCGCAGTAGCTGTCACAAAATGTCAAACATATCATTTCTATTTTGATCTATGTAATATCCATAAAAATACTAAAATCGATATGATTGTTAAATTATTAAAATTGTTGTAAATTAGATCCTAGATTTTTATCTTTAACAATTATTATTAAAATAATTTTAAAATAACTAAGATATATTTGCTTTTTATTCTGGTTAAACACATAAGCGATTAGATCAATCAATTACCGTAAGGCCTGTTAGCTCAGTTGATTAGAGCGTCAACTTTGCAATTTGAGACCGTCGAGCGACCGCGTTCAAATCCTGGCTGTGCCAGATTTTTTTTTTTTTTATTTTTTAATTTTTAATTTTTTTTTATTTGTTTAGAAAATATGAAAATTGAATAAATACGATTATTGTTGATTATTTTTTTAAATACATTTTAATTATTTTAATAATAACCTGGTTTTAATTTTTTGATGAAATTATTTTGTGATCGTAGGAAAAATATTGTACAATACTTGTGTGAAAAGTGATTTTCCACACTCGTGTGATAGTCGCACTCGGCTTGCGCCTCGTGCGACAATATTTCCGACTCGTGTGAAAAATGTCACTTTCCACACTCGTAATGTAATATACTATTTACGATTACTATCCAAAGTAGACTTTTACACATTCACCATATATTTGGACTTACATTTTTACATCCAGATGAAGTAGGAGATGCATTTACTTTTGATTTTGCAGAAGATATGCCTTAAAATGGAAAAAAGTGGTTCAATTCGCGGACTATTTAACCGAAAATTATATAAGAAGTCAAGATTCAAGTTTTCCCCCTAATATATGAGCAGAATATTCTGCAGACATTACTAGAACTACGAACTGTTGTGAAAGTTTTTATTCGAAATTTAAACATCCAAATATACACGTGTTTATTGAGGCGTTAAAAAGAATCCAAACAGATACTTATATTAAAATAAATAATAGCAATAAAAAAGAAAAACGTTTAATAAGAGAAGACGTTTTAAAAAGCCAAAATTTCATTACTGCCAAAATTTCACAGTATCAGTGTAAAGAGATTAGCTGCTATGATTTTTTAAAATGTGTGGCATATAAATTTAGTGTACATTTAATTAATATGATGCAACTTCAAAAATTATGTAGTTTTAATTATTACTAACCGCTAACGGGAATTCGAGTTAAGGATTAAGGATAAATCTGAACCCTGCCGGGAACTCGTGTGCAATATTAAGAGACAAAAGTTGAAAAGCAGGTAAAAGGTTTTATGCTGACGGGAACTCGAGCCGCCCGATATATTTCATATATTGTAAGGCCCATCATTTATTACGACCCACCTTGTGCACTTTTAGTACTTTGGTGTGTGTTTGAAAATTAAGGAAATAACAAGTGTTACCTAACAAATTAAACATACACTATATAATAATTAATTTCTAATATGGCAGTCTTTCCAACATGTTTGCAAAATCATTCTGACAGAGAGTATGATAAAACAGAAAAAAGGTAAAACAGTTTAAAATTTAATACTCTTAAAACTGATTTGTTTTCTAAAATTTTTATGCCTATCCCACTTATTATCATATTCTTAAAAAGATTTAAAAATGGTTTAATAAAATTCTTAATATACTCTTACGGACTTTGACTTAGGTCTAATTAGTTTTAAAATATTGTTTTAAAAATACTCCTGAGAACCGTTATAGGATTCTCCCTTTTACTCTTAAAGCAGATTTATAGCAGCCTTAAGGCTATCTCGCGGATTCAAAAGTTTTATTAGTGTCTTAAAAAAGGGTTTTATGGTTATCTTGTATACTTTGATAAATCTAAAAATGTTACTTGGGTTATTTTTGAAATAATATTTATTTTTTTTTATTTTTTTTAAATTTCCGTGCCATTAATACTGTTGAAATTACATTCAACATGTCCTATCCGCTAATCTAAATCAGCATTTAAATACAAAAAAGAATAAAATACTAGATAAACTGTATAAACCTTCGCACTTAATAAAAAGAATAAAATACTAGATAGACACTCCCTGTATAAACTAATTATCTAAAGTCGTGAAAGAACAAACCGGTTAAATTTGAAATAACCTTCAGACACCTGCGAACGTCGCAAACAATAAAAACAATGTCACACGAGATTTTTTTACCCAATCATGACTCTCGCGCGCAATCTTAAGATACTAGATAACCAATTAGAAGAAAGCCGGTAAAACCGATGCGAAACGAAACACTCACTTTCGCTCAGTCAGTCAAACCAACAAACCACAAACTTTTACAACGCCGGCAACAAGCCGTAAATTAATTTAAAGCATTTGTGCGATTTGATTTAAAAAAGTTAACATGTAGTCGATCAATAATTTATGTAACCAAGTAGTAAATGTGTAAAATGTGAAATCAGCAAGCCGTGAATATATCAAATTCAAATATAAGGTGATAGTTTTATTTGAATGAAACCAGTTCATCAACCAGAACTTCAAGAGTATCTTCCAGAGGCTACAGGGTGGAGCATAAGGCCTTCACCCCAGGTAATCTATTTCGAATATAGTCATACAGTCCACCATGATCGAAGGCAGTAAATGTCAAGCCCAATAAAGATGAGGTGAAACACATACATGTTTCTATTTCTACCAAACATTATAGACATATTACCGGAATTTCAATAAAAACTGGCATAAATAGTTTATATCCACTTAACGCTTTGAACTGACCTTCGATACCGGAAAGAGGTAGCATTTAGAGAAAATAGTTTTAAGTAAAATATTTTAATAGACAGTATTGAACGTAGTTGACTTCCAAGATATGTAACGGTTCTCAGCTTTGGTTAGGTCTGTTTTCAACTGCCGTCTTAAAAATGGACTTCATTACTTTTTTTGCTCATCAATTTAGCTTTTGTTCAAATTGGTCAACGTCTGATGCTGCAATGTATGCCGTTGATTATATGGTTGATGGCTTTAAAAATTAAAAATTTGTTCTTATCGATTTTTCAAAGGCTTACGATACCCTTCTTGAAATGTTCAGTCACTATTAGGTTGAAGGAACTGCAGTGCACTTTTTTTTAATCATATCTCACCAATCGGTTTCAAAGTGTATTTTATATTAACAGCGGGTCGAATTTAAATATAGCAAGGGTCAATTCTGGGGCCGATACTTTTTATCTTATACATAAATTGTTTATGCAACCTTATAAAACTTCATCACAGTATATTATTTGCTGATAATACTGCCTTAATTTACTTAATTGATAGCTACTGAAAACTATCTAGTACAACCAATAAAGAGGAAGAAAAATAAAGTTAGCGGCAAATAGGCTTAAATTATTTCATAACAAATGTGTTACTGCGTGCACAATTACCAGAATTTGTTTGGTTTTACTATGTTAAAATTTTCGACAAAACTGTTGTCGTAATTACACTAGCAAACCTAGCAGATTTTACACGCAACTCTGATCTATTTTAGCCACGTCTTTTGTTTTTGATTAGGTATTCGTGCACCTTATAGACCCAACCTGCTTGGGTCTTTGACACAGATAGAATGTTGGATTTCAAGCTCTAAATAGATATCTCGATTTCATACCAGTTAACAGGGTTCAGAATCAAGCTGGTTAATGTAAAGAAGGATATAATTTTCTGGTTAACTTTGTAATACCAAAATTAGATGTAGGATAGATAGATACTTTAGTTCCCTATGTCACCCGACTTGTTATGACGAATTATCTAAAACAATCAATCGGGTAATTTTTTTTCTCGTATTTCAGTTAAACAGTATTTTCTACAGAAATTAAAGATATAATATATACCAAAATGTTACCATTTTATTTCTACACAATTTACATAGAAATACCAAAATCATTAGTGAAAATTGCGCTTTCGCAGGACTTGCAGCACATTCTTTTGAATCCGCTAATTTTACAGTACTTATGCAGCAAACCGAATGGACAATACACGGATTCATCGTTGTGACATATTTTTTTCTTTCTTCCTCTGCATAAAGGATTAGTAAATCGATTATAGTTGCCCAAGCAAGACTTTCTTTGCGGCGAAGGTGCGTTTCCGCAAGTGAAGAAAGTTTCATCCTCTGGAGGAAGACAATGGGAGGATCTCGTTTGGAAACCAGGACCGCAGGTTGCAGAACACTGAAATATATGTTAATTTATTTTAAATCTGTAAATTTATCAAAATATAGAACCTGTGTCCAATTTCCAAATGTCCAGTACGAGAAACAAGGTTTCCTATTGCAAGATCTCATACTGACCGATTTGATGCCACCACATCTATTAGGATTTGCCATGTACCTCCAAGGTTGACTAATTGTACCGTTTGTTTCTTCTATGACAGAATTCGGTAAACAGTATATTTCTCTGTGTTGAACACCTAAGGTACCGCATGAAGTGCTGCATGGTTCCCATTCTGCTGTGAACCATTTAAAGTTGCAACTGTAGAGTACAGAAAAGATTAGGGAATAGTAGACTTAATATGCCTTTAAACAATACAATGTTTTGTCCGCATCATAAACAAAATGTTTGGTACAAAGCATGCCTATCTACAGAATAGATTTAGGATAGACTAGAATACAATAGAGTATATTAAACTACAATAGAATGAACTATACAGTACAGTAGATTAGACTAAAATACAGTATATTAGAATACAGTAATTTTGAGGAGAGAAAATAGATTGAAGTAAAATCATACCTGAAGGTGTTGCACATTTCAAACTCCAGCTTTGGCTTCTGTATGAGGGCACACTCGCTCCTCTTCACGACTTTGTTGGTATTGTTATCGAAGCAAGCAGCGGTTCTTTGTCGTTTACCCCCACCACAACTGGTAGAGCAAGGTCCCCAGCCTCCTGCGATCCAAACGAATCGTTTGGAGGGAATCAGGTCATCCTTCTGGATCGAAAATTCTGTTGAGTACGATATATTTATGCCTAGACGTAGTTCTGTTTTTGAAACGATCACCTAAGGAGATATTGTGAAATCAGTATTTGAGAAATCTATGAGGACTAAGAGTTATTGCTCCGGTTATAAAAGCAAGAAAGCCATAGAATACACAATTTGTCATGTCTGTGATAAATTCGCAAAAATGAATCCAATTTGATACTTAAAAAGAAGAAGAATACCTATCACACCCTTTCTCTTTTTTACTTCAAACGATCTTATGAGCAGAGCGAGATGAGATATATGAAATTCTTCAAAAGTTAAGATTTGAAATTTCAAATTTGGACCAAAATTTTACTAAATACGTCTACATACCCAATTCACATTATAACTAAATAAAATTGCTGTGGAATTTTTTAGGATAGGAGAATTGCGGCTTCAGAACTGGTTCCAATAAATTTGAAGAACAGGAAAAATTTGACGATAAATTAGTTCTCATAAAAGTAGCTAGAACTCTTAAAATGACTTACCAACACGACCATTTCATCACGAATCGGCCCTTTACTCCAAATTGTGTATGCATTATTGTTATTTCTCTTGTAATAGAATTTGGCTCCCTTTACGATTTCGCTACGTGGCACGCCGCTGGGGACCATTACTGTGTAACTTTTTTTCTTCCTGTTTTTTAGAATTAGGGCCAGTACAGGATTATCCGAATGATATTTCGTTGCATTCAATTGTACTTTTATTTCTCGGGATTTTTCTGGCAGAACGGCTATCCTGCTGGATTCTATGATTGTAAAGGAAATGAATTTAAACCTTCGATGGAAAAGACTTGATGAATAATACAATAAAGCATAGACGGGGTTAAGGGTTTTTTGTTTATTTATACTTCATTTATTTTACCTTTTTTTAACCTTCTATGAAATGTTTTCTTCATATCAGTACAATCAGAATTGTTGCCATTGCAAATTCCACACTTATCTCTTTGTAGTGGAGAATGGATAACTCCATCACAGCCTACGTATTGGCATAAACCCTGGAATTAACACGTACATAAAATAATTGTCAAAAATGATAGATATTTATTTTATTTGTTAATTTGGCAGAAAACAAGTTTTCTAACCCTATATGTCCTCATTAGAAATTTAAAAACTGAATTTACTGAATGTCGTCTGCCATAAAAATTAGAGTTAGCCAAAAAGAAATAAAATTATAAAAAGTATAGAAGTATAAAAATAATACTAAAATATAGAAAAATCAATACAAATTCTAGAGACGTTAAAATGGTGGATTCCACCTTTACCTCTTAGGCCTGCTCATGTAAAATATTTGGACTCCTTCGCCTATTTATATTCTATTAATAAAGGACAGAAGGATGAGTATTGCAACTATGTTAAAAGAAATAAGTTGGCTTTCAGTTCAGAATTATGTTCAGTACATGACTGATATTTATTTATAAAATAAAAATAACATAAATCCATCGCATCAGTTCTATTAGAAAAAATTCAATATAATTCACAATAGAACAACTATAATCTTGCCCTTTTTAAGTATTTCCCTTAATTGATTGTTATTTTACCCCTCGTTTTACCTCGTTTTACTACTTACTATGTTTAAATTATTATTAGCTTTGCGACGATAGGTTATACTGATAGCCACAAAACTATTTTTGTGTTAAAATAGATCCATAGAGAGCAATATATACAATGGCCTTCTTTCAACATACAAATAAATGACAACTTTATAATTAAAATGAAAAACACAACAAAATACCTCGGTATCATAATTGATCAAAATTTAAAATGGGTTGATCACATTACGTCATTAAAATCCCAAGGTAAGAAGATTCGTTTTTAAATTTTATGAATTGAGGAAATTTATTACTAGAAGTTTACGAGGGTGAAGTTGGCCCTACCATGTTATGATAATTACACCAAAGTTGTACCAATATTTTGCAACTAATTTGTAACTTTAAGCAACCGGTATGAAAAAATTTGCAACCTTACATTTTTGTTCTAATCGCTAAAACAAAATTGGTGGGGCCAAATTCACGCAGCTTCACCACATCGTCGTGTTGACCTCGAACCCTTTTCATAATTTAGCAACTAATATGCAACTTTAGCCAACCTTCGTGAAAAAATTTGCAACCTCGTGGTTACACCGAAAACGAATCCCTAAGTTGATGGTGACAAATTCACGCAACCCCACCACATCGTCTTATTGACCTCGAACCTTTTCAATATTTTGGCAACTAATTTGCAACTTAAGGCAACTTTCGTAAAAAAATTTGCAACCTCGTGGTTACGCAGAAAACGAATCCCTAAGTTGATTTTGCCAAATTCACGCGGCCCCACAACATCGTCGTATTGACCTCGAAATTTTTTTATAATTTAGCAACTAATATGCAACTTTAGCCAACCTTCGTGAAAAAATTTGCAACCTCGTGGTTACGCCGGAAACGACTCCCTAAGTTGATGGGGCCAAATTCACGCAGCCCCACCACATCGTCGTATTGACCTCAAACCTTTTTCATAATTTAGCAACCAATTTGCAACTTTAGGCAACATTCGTGAAAACATTTGAAACCTCGTGGTTGGAAGGGGAGCCAAAGTCACGCGGCCCCACCACATCGTCGTATAGACCCCGAATTTTTTGGGGGCCAACATTTTTGCATCTGACACGCCGATCATAATTAAACAAAACATTTTAAGGAGAGCATTTCTGTTAAATTTAAAACAATTTTAATTGGACAAGACGTTGGGACAAATTGAATTCCATAATACAAATTTTCAAAGTATTAAATTATAATTTATAACGATGGAAATATTATTTTTATTAATATTACCGAGTTTCTGTGATAATAATAATCATTTCCAAATTCATGATATCTTTTCTTTGTTCAAGTTTCTGGGTCATTAACACAAGCTACGGTATTGCAAACATTTTCAAAAATTGTAATAGACTTGTATACAAAATGCATTTTGAATATAATTTACATGTTTGCTGGATTTTGCATGTTTTCATCTCATAAATGTTTACTTCCTCAATAATATTTTTACCATAAATGTTTTGAGTTGTATCGTTATGCGACTCAGAGTACCTCAATTTCCCAATTTAAAGTTCTGTATGCGTGAACATTCTGTATTAATCGCATTTTTGAATATATTTGTATCACGTATTCACACGAAATTTCAAATAATATTTGTTGGTACAGCTACTGTTTTGAGTCCCTATACTTCGCATGCGTTAAGAACATGACTGGGTGTGGACGATTTAACATCCGTTTCGCGCAGCTGGCTTCTGATTGGTTCTGATTACTGTAGATAAAAAATCACCAGTAAAACATATAAAACGATCATTATTTGAGAATTTAGATAAATGAAGTGATTCAGAAGTGTCGATTATATCAGAAATATCAGAAGGTAGAAATGAAATGGATGCATTTGACAATTGGCGAGGTTTTGGAGAGAATAACGAAGTTGTGGTAAATATCAATCAAAAGCCAATTAAGAGAAAAAAACTAAGAATGACCACATATATGGATGCAGTGCCAGAAATTGAACATATATTGACACAAAAGACAACGCGTTCAAATTTAAATAGTTTGCTTATAAATGGAAATATTATCACTCCACTAAAAATCTCAAAGCAAAGGTATTTATTGCATAACACTTGCCCTTTTGACTCAATTGCAGTTATTATAGCTATGGCTTACATTGATAATAATCAATATAAACAATTTATTGACACAGAAAAAAATTAGTTACTTCAGTTTTGTAAAGTTCCAAAATAATGTATTTGAAGAGACCTCATATTTAAAAAAATATTTTTGAAGAATCTGATGGAATAACTAATGTCAAACTAATCGACGCTAGATGTAACATTACATATATTATTTCAAAACTATTAAAAGATGTGCCATCAGCTATTGAAGAATTAAGGTGCTCAAATATTAAGTGTATTGATTCTAAAAAAAACTTATCAAGTCCAACAATAATCTTAAATTTTTGTGAAGGCTTCAATAAAATAAATACAGCTTTAAATAAGTACATACAACCAATCACTTATCTTTGTACTGAAGAAAATTGTGATGGAACATTAACATCTACCCGATTCGTACATCAACATTTATTTATTGAAACTGTATGCAAATTCACGGCAATTTTCTCTAAATGAATTTGCTACAGAGATATATTTAAATGATGACGGGTAATAATAGTAATAATGAAACACGAAATCCCAAGAATATCAAATTATTGATTAAAAGTCTTTAAAGAAATAAAATTAAAAAGTTTCATCTAAGTATTTAGACTATACCCTGTATAGTGGTAAATTTGACAAGATCAAAAGTAACTAAATGTAGCGAGACAGTGTTGCCACACGAAAATTATAAATTTTAAAATGTACATTTATAAAAAAGTTAGAACATGGATTCCAAAATAACCTATTAATTAATGAACAATAAATTATCATCGAAATTATGAAATAAGCCGTTTAAATAAACTCACCTTTATAAATTCAATAATCAAATTTCAATAATGTAACTAAACTGTCAAAATTTTGATTGGCTAATTTCATTTTTCATAAAACTCGATGGGAAAATTGAAATCGGAATTTGTTGATGAAACAAAAGAGTCGGTAGCATGTAACGAAGGAGAAGGGACATGTAAAATTTTTCCATCTAGTTCCTTTCCAAAATTCCTTTTTTCCTAAAAAATAAAGAGACAGGAAAATAATTCTTTAATGTTTATTTATAAGTACTTGATTAGTGTATAAATGTCAAAGGTAATATAAAATTTAACTTACCCATGGAAAATCATGTAAAACTGCCCGAAGACGAGTCCCCCAGGAAGACATCCTCACCGCTGTATGCACCGGCATACTAGACGAAAGGCCTCCGGTTCCCCCAGGTATTTGTAATAGCTGCTTCTGTTTATGGACACTGAAAAGAAATACGTTTAACACTTGGACATCTCATATTTCATAGTGAAACACAGGTATTTTAAAAACTATCATTAGTGACTGATTTAAAAAAACTACTTACCATAATTGAGTATTTAAGTAATCGTAAAGACGATAAATCTTTCTATTTATGTCTAAAATAGTATCACAATTTTGTAGAGACATTTCGGGTTGGTTATGTTATAAGCCATCTCTTGTCCGACTTGAGAAATTACTGTATATCCGGTCTAAAGATTGTTTCTTACATTAAAGTGGCAACCTGCTGTGAGTAGCACATTAAACGGCGTTCGCTAACTGTATTTTTGTTGTATAATGCGCCATTTTCGATCCAAGAATCGATCTTTAATGACGTATTATATTATATTTTCGTTTTTAAGTTTATTTTCACATTTATGTAACAATTTTCTGTTTCTTTATCCCATATTAGCCATACAGAATCTTTGAACTCGCACTAAACCCTGATATTAACCTTTTTAAATAAAACTACAAATTATATAGAGAGTCTTAAATTTTATTTACTTTTATTTCAATAATTCAAGAATTGACGATATACGAGGTGCAGAGGTAAGTGTCTAAATGCATAGATGAAAACTTTAAAACCTATTATATGAAATAATCATGTTATGTTATTTTATCACAATCATGGCGCACTGCATCAGGTAGTATTTCAGCCGGGGCATTAGGTATTTGGATGGATAAGGATGAATTGTAATCTAAGTTACTTTTAAATAAATAATATTTGGGTAATGTTACTCTATATTAAAATATTCATTTCATTAGAATTTATGACTGCTAAACGTAGAGCTCATTACAGTATGGTGCCAGACGTGGAGCTTTAATAAAAACAATTGTGTATAATTAAAATAAATTAAATTAAAATTAAAATAAAAAAAAAACACGACATCATTACCCATTACAATATGGCTACCCAAACGTGAGCTTGACATCCTCATTCATAACAATATTTATAATATTTTTATTAAAAATAATTATTAGTCCTTTTTAGATATATATTTTATGACATAGTTTCATATGGATTAGACCATTATGTAGCTGTTATAAGAAGAAAACAGG